TCATTCCCCAGTCTCTCTCACTGATTTCTCACACTATTCCCTTTCTTTTCCATGTAACGAAGGCATAAAAAGTCAATTCAAGTAAATTTGGATTTAAGCTCGAGGTCTTGACTAGTATTGGTTAAAAATATAAGTCCAGGCACACTAAAAGGTATTTTACTCACTCACAAGGGTTTTCAGTCCCATTAAAATGGTTTTGAAACTTTTTGTTACATGACTCACAATCATGGGATGCAGTGTCAAAGTACTGCTTTGACCCTTCCCTCTGTTTTTGACAGTAACAAGAAAAGAGTCCAGCTTTTTCCCAGTAATCTACTAAATATTTGCAAATTGTCCCAGGAACAAACATGTATTGTCAGGGACTAGCTGTTGTTTTCTGGTTGTTTCTTAGAGGTACAGTGTTAGTCTACAGTAAAGAACCAGCTTTAATGTACTGTATATCATTATTTATAGAGTTGGTCCTCTGCCAATGATATATAACTTTAATTTAACAGTATTCATCACAAATGACACATTTAGATTCCTATTCTGCAAGTGTGCCAGCATCCCCCAGCCTGCTAGTTTTGACCTGCCATCATATCAAGGCACGATACTTGAAATAAATACCTTAAAGAGTTCATGGAAAAGCTGCGCACTTAGTCAAAACAACTTTTTTTTTTACTGCAGGACTCTTTCTATGTCATCAAATCCACTTCAACATCAAACATTTTCTGTCAAAATAACTACCAGAAAGATATATCCCAGAAATCCTGGAGGGACATACAAACGTCAGCCTCTCTTCTCCCACATTATGGTTATTAGGGACAAACGGTCACTATTGATTCCTGAAAATGAATGTTGACATATGCAATGTGTTTGGCAGGCAGTGGCAGTCCACATCTGTGAGCGCAAACAAGCAGGATCCCCTCAACGAACCCGTAACATGTCTGTAACCTGCGTATCCTCAAAGCTCTCCTATTGGGAGCGTCTTATTTTGATAGGCTATTTTTATGGTGCTTAAGGGAAGTGGTTTAGTACACATATACAAAACAAAAACGTAATTCAACGTAGCAACTCAAAGGAGCTGTAAAAATGAAAGATGCACGTCACAGACAGCCTTCAGAAGGGTGTCGTAAATCTCCATTAAATTAAGGACATCCTAATTCTCTATCAAGTAGTATTATACAATAGTATTATGCAACTTGAGTGAACTTTCAGAAAAACGTATTTAAGTAGTTCTTGACTGAAATATTACCATATAGAAATATTATAATAGAAGCTGCAGATATCGTCTTGTGCTGTGAAGTCTTGGAGGTTTTGTTGATATCTTTCAGTAAAGAACAAACCCAGCTCCAGTTCTTCTGCTTTAGCTGAGCATGATGGACTTTTCTGCACTCTCTGCTGTGATTTACTCGTCTCTAGTGTTCAAACCACTTAGACCCCATGAAGGAAAAATCTGAAAATGAGCATCAGATCAGTCTGCGGTTTGCCCCGAGTTCACTGTGTTATGCTTGGCTTTCTAAGCATGAGCGACTGCTGGCTATCAGATGTCAACATCTGTCTCCTTCTTACCCATTAAAATTCACATTTCGGGGGGCTTTTTTCTGTAGCTGGTGGAGATTATATTTTCACTCCTAAATAGCCACACTGTGGTGCACATGAAAGAGGACAGAGGGTTGCATTTTAAGGTCATTTGTTATGGCTATTTGGTGTAAGCCAGAGTTCAAGTGGTTCGTTCTCACCTGCAGAACCAAACTGCATGGCCGAATAAACAGTTTAAAGTTTGAATAATCCACTCCAGGTTTCTGTGAGCACACATCTCCTGACAATTTACAAGCTTTTATACTGCTTGTTTCAATAATGCTCTAATAGGCCTTCTATACAAAGCAGAATCTTATCAGGTAGAAAGTCTCTAAAAAGTTGTAATAATCAGTGCCAAGAAAATAAGTAATTTACCATTTACGATTGTGTGAACTTGTATCAGGCGACGCTTGTGAGCTGGTTCAGGCAGTCAACTCGAGCCTACTGACTGCTTATTTGGATGTCACATAAGTGTCTTTAGATCACGGTCTTTCCATGTAAATTTATGTTCAATATGAAGCTATGAGTTAACCAAAGTGTGCTAACATTAGCCTGCTAACACAACAATGCAGGACAAAGGCAATTGCAGCTCGAGCAAAGGACAATTTTGTCCTCTGCTTGTACTTAATAGTGCTTAATATGGAGTGTTAATACTTCACATCAGCTTTGCCATCAATTAATGTATTTAACTTTATAATCAACTTTTCCAGATGTCTTAAATCCAAAATTTAGAAAATAAATTGCAAACCTTCCTTTGTTAACTCAGTTAACCTATTTTTACTCTAGAAGTTGAATGTCTTGTATGAAAAGGTCTCAATGCAGCAGTGAAGCTGTTAACATGTATGGGAATAATACAACATTTTATGTACACATGTAACAAAAGAAAAGAACCCTGTCATGGTTTACTCTGTTAGTTGGTTTGATCCTTGTTTTGTTAGTTATCTTTTCTAGTGTTAATGTTTCCTAGTTTGGTCTTTAGTGTTTCCTGTTTATTTTGTAATTTCTTATCCTTGTGTTTCTTTGTTTTAGTGGTTATTGTTATATTCTTGAGATATCTGTCCTCAGTGTTTCGTGTCCTGCCTCTGTGTGTTTTACCTCCAGTGTTGATTGCCCTCATTGTCTTCACCTGTGTCATTAGTCTCACCTGTGTCTGATTACCACTGTGTCTATTTAGTCTCGGGGGTTTCTTCCCTTCTGTGTCAGATCAATGAGCCTCATTCACCAACAGTGCGTATGCACAAATATATGCTTAAACTGTGTGTACGAACGTTTGAAGCACAAATCTGGGATTCTTCAATATATTCTTAATATACTTACTTCCACTTGGGACATGGGGAAGTCATAAAGTAGGAAGGGCCACTGCAGCCGGGGTATGATGCCATACTGAAAGCACAAGACTTTAAACCTCCCGAGCAGTTGGCTGTGCTCGATTGCCTTGAGCCATGTGTTCAGCTGGGCTTTGGTGTTAGTGAGATTGCCACTGTCCTTTAAGGAGCTGTCATACTGCTTTCCGAGATCCCTTGATCTTGGATTGTTGGGATCACAGAGCCTTGGATGCTGAAGATGTTTCCTGTTAGCTTCCCCTTCAAGATACTGAGGCTCCTTGACTTTTCCGGTTTAAACTGCAGGCGTGACCATGTCGCCATCTTTTCCAGTGCGCTCAGGATCCACTGTGTCCCCTGCATAGATGGAGTCATCACCGTCACGTTGTCCATGAAACCTCGACAAGCTGGGTGTCTCGTGTCGTTGTCTGCTTTTGGGCCTCTGCACTGCATTCCTCCTGCCTTTAGCAACAGATTCATCGGCCCTGCCGAACAGGGCCACGGAAACCATGCATCCTGCCATGATGCCCTTCTCGAACCTTTGCCATTTGGTGGTGACGCTTCCCACTGTGAACCTCATCCGCAGCGCATCCATGTGTGCCATTACCAGCGCTACCTCTGATGGAACTCGGTAGTGATCCAGTGCCTTTCGGATCAGCTGGTGTGGGACGCTTGGGTAGGCTTTGGCGAGGTCCAGCCAAACGACAGAAAGTGTGTTGTTGTTACTCTTGGTTTCATTGATGAGCTGGCTAATCACTGCTGTATGCTCCAGGCAGCTGGAATATCCTGGTACTCCTCCTTTTTGGACACTGGGATCGATGAACTCATTGGCAAGCAGGTATGTTGTTAGCCTTTTGGTGATGATGGACCAGAAGATTTTCCCCTCTACGTCCAGAAGGGAAATCTCCCGGAACTGGTCGAGTCTTGTGGAATTTACCTCTTTTGGCACAAAGTAGCCCTCAGTGAGAGTCCAGAGCCCAGGTTCCAGCTTCCTCTTCCACAGTGTCTGTAGGAGCTTTGAGAGCCTCTTCAGCAGCAGTGGGCAGCATTTGTACATTTATAGGTGGTGCCTGATGGTCCTGGGGCTGATCCCACCAGTGCTTTTGTCACCACTGCCCTCACTTCATCCATGGTGAAGTCAGCCATGTTAAGAGGTGTGTAGTGTAAGATTCGGTAGTTGGAAAGGACATTCACCCAGAGGAATACCTCTGGAGGAGTCTCTGTGTGCAGCCGCCACACTGTTTTCTATTTCCTCCTTTGCACATGACAGGGTCCCACCCTTGGGCTTTCCTAGTCGGTCTGCTGTGAATTGGAAAGGGTTGTTAAAGAAGGCTTTCCTCTTTTGGCGCTTCTTCCTCTGCTTCTCCCGTGTGGTCTCAGCTCTCTGCAGCTGGATCAGCCTTTTCCGCGTCTCTGTGCTGATCTCATCCAGGGCAGCTCTTTCCTCGTCACTTGCTTCCCGCCACCTTCTCTTGAGTGTCTTTAATTCTTCTCGCAGCTCTTTGATCTGCCGCTGTCTCCTGCTTGGCCCTGCTGGTGGCCCTGGAAGTCTTGCCTTCTTTCGCGCCAAAGGTGTCGTGGCACGCCTTGTACACAACTTCAACCATGGTCTTGAATATATTCTAAGAGTAGGTAAGACCATCAAGTGCGGCAGAAAGTGGAAGCCCAGCAAGCCGTGACAGAAGCAGAATCCCACTGGAATCAAAAACAGGAAATTGTGGGCGTGGTATGCCAGGGACACCTGGGCCTTGGACACTACAGCGAGAAGAGGTAGAGCAGGGCTGATGCCAGAGCTAGAAGAGGCCTCATGGTGTAAAGAATCCGTGAAGAAGCAGAAGAGGAGCGCCAGGTGAAAGCGATCGGACTTGCCTCTCAGGGTCGATGGACGCAATGGGACCAGGCACAGGAGCGACCGCTCTCTTGGAAGGAACTGTGGCAGACCGACCAAGGGAAGTTGAGCTTTCTCCTGCGCTCTGTGGCTGACCTGCTGCCAACCCCAAGAAACCTGAAGATCTGGGACAGAGAGGAAGCCTCATCTTGCAACCAATGTGGAGCAGCGTCCTGTACACTGAACCACATCCTGACTGGTTGTCCAAAGGCATTGGCAGGGCGGTACAGATGGAGGCACGACAAGGTCCTCACGGAAATCGCCAAATGGGTGGAACAGCAGCGAGTCAAAGCCAACAACAAGCAACTGCCAAAGCCATAACTTTTGTGAGGAAAGGAGACAAGGCCAAGACCAACACGGTGGCCAAGAACCCACCCTCTACCTTGCAACGAGCCTCCGACTTGGAGTTGAGAGTGGACCTGAAGAGGAAGCTTGTCTTCCCACAGGACATGGCAGTGACCTCCCTCCGACCAGATATGGTCCTGCTATCCAGGAGAATGAAAACCATCATAGTTGCTGAGCTCACGGTGCCCTGGGAAGAGAGGCTAGCCACGTCCCACCATCTGAAAAAAGCCAAATACCAAGACCTGGTCGACGAAGCTGTTTTAAAGGGGTGGCATGCAACCAGCTACCCCATTGAAGTTGACTGCCGCGGGTTCCCAGCAAAATCGGTGCGCTACTTCCTCCAGAGGGTGGGCCTGGAGCCCAAACAGCTGAAGAAAGCCACCAGGGACATAGCTCCAGCAGCCGAGTCCAGCTCAAGATGGCTGTGGGTGAAGAGAGCCCACAGTTGGAACCCTTCTGCAGGTGAAGGCTAGTCAGTCTTCGCTGCCCCACTCAGGCGAGGTGTTCAGGTTAAGGGGCGAAACACCTGAGACCCCTGCTGAAGATGCGGAAGGGTTACAGGTTACAACAATGTGGATGCTCCATCCAAGAAATGCCATCTCGGAAGAAGCTCTGTATCACCATAGTTAAGAGTGTAGTTCCTACAGTTGCCGCTTGTGGCAAAGCATCTCTGATGTTTACTTCACCTTACTTGAATTTGTTCTTACTGTGCGAACAAAAATAGAACTTCCTCAGAGCATGCGTACAAACAAATGATTGACCAGCTTTCTCAGAAAATGTTAACATACACTCTTTAACTAAATGCATGACATACTAAAAATACATTCTGTAAAAAAAAAAAAAGTTATATAAATATATATATTTAATTTTTTTTTTAAAAGACAAGCATTAAAAATGTTAATTAACATTGACTAAATGTATTAAATAACCATGAAATGTTCGCCTTATCATCATTTTAATTTAAAATATTAAATCTAATTATCGATCTCTCCCACTAATATTGCCATGAAAGATCGTATCTGTCAACAAAACCATCTGATTAATCTGAGAATATTTAAGAGCATGCAGGGAACATACATGATTGTGATTTACGTCTAAGAAAGTGTAAAGATCAAGCCTTGCTGAAAGAAATAGCAGCCGGTGCCTTCAGAAGAGAGCGCATCAGACCGTCAAAACATGTTTGAAGAGTGTGACGAACATGACCGATCAGCTGATTACGACTCCCAATGCACATACTGCTGCAACGGCATCTAAGCCCCCAGACTCTTTTTAGCCTTTTGGGGCCATCTCCTAAAAACTTCTACGTGTCTCCACCTCACCACTCTCGTCCTGATACACCAATCGGATGTCCTTTTATATGGAGAGATGGGGTGTGGTAGTGTGCTGATTGCTGATTGCAGGCTGCGGGCACGCGCCTGACGATTTAGAATGATTCTGATTCACGAACATACGCAAGTTAGTGAAAACAAAATTGGCTGGTACGAACGTGTCATGAATCTGACGGTGATTTTGCGTATGCACTTATTTTATGTGCAGAGTAAGAACATTTCTATGCATTTATTAGTGAATGAGGCCCAATGTTGTTTGTTAGATGTCTTCATATGTTTGAGTTTCTTCCTGTGATTCCTTGTGATTTTTTTTACCCTTTGTGGTTTTTTCAGTTAGACATTTTGTATTTGGTTTTAATTCATTTTTTGTTTGCCTTTACATTTAAAATAAATTGTTTTCTTTCCCTGCAATTGGGTCCAGCTTCCTGTATTTCACGCATGACAAACCCCTTTTCAGAACATTGTTGCACCTTACTTGTTCTTCTCAGTCTGTCTTCTTTTTCTCATGTTGGCGAGGTCCAAGACTGGCCGTGTAGCCCTGCAGGTGATCTCCCTGCTGAGACATGCTCCTGCTCCTACTCCCTCACTTGCTCTCTCAGCTCTTTAATTTATTTCTGTAGATGTGTTTGCAGGAAAAGGTGAAGCCTTGAGAGATCACTTTGGGTGGGAGCTGCATGTTGGTGCCTGCTATTCTGAGAAATCTCCTCCTGAGGTGTTAATAGGAAGCCTGCCTCTGCCTTTATGATCTCAGAACAGGTCATGTTGAGATGTTACATTTTGTATTTTAAGATTTCAACAATAATGAGACAGAAGTTATTACCCAAACAGGCTAAGTACATTTACTAAGTTCAATACATGACTACAATTTGAAGTACTTGTACATTAAATCGACGTGCAAAATTGGATTTTAGCCACACTACTCAACAAATAACATTTAAAAATATGTATTTAAAATTGTATTTATAACCAACACAGTGTGGCTCAAATACTATAGTGTCCCTGGGTGAGACACTTAACCCCAAATTGATCCTGCTGCTTTGTCCGTGGTGTATGAATGGGATTAGTTAATACTGATGGAAACTTTACATAACAACCTCTGCCATCAGTGTGTGATTGTGTAGGAGTGACCTGTGGTGTAAAAGGGCTTTGAGTAGTCAGAAGACTGGAAAAGTGCTCTACAAGCTCAAGTCCATTTACCATTACATATAGTAATCACATTCAGAGAAAACACCAATTAAAACAAATCGAACTGGGAACCGAGTGTGCCCTAAGAAAAAAGCATTTCTTAAAGTATGATGAATGAAAAGTATATTTTGGCAGACATCTCTGTAGGGAAACACTGATAATTCAAATATGTTCCATCTACTCCACATTGGTAATGCATTACTTTTACAGATTTACATTTACAATAAAAAACAGTCGATCGATTATAATACTCGGGTCAGTCCACCAACTTGTACTGTTACAACTTGGCACACATTGCAAACTTGTTATGAAGTTTTTATGAAGTCAGCTCAGTTGAAGTTAATTGCTAGAGCTAAATAGAAAAGAAAACTGAGGGAAAGGACTTTGTTGACTTGTTGCAGGTCAGATAAAGATGTAGTCATTTGTTATAGGCTAGTCAAGGAATCACATACGAGAAGAAAAAAAACGTAATGATCACACAAAGAATAACGCAGACGTTTGTTTTCTGCACTACAACACCGGAGGGCCACTTAAAATGATGTATCAGCGAGCATCGTGGTTATAGTGTTATAAGATCAAATTCAACTTGACCTTAAAGTGCACTATTGTCTTTTAAGTCTGACAAACAGTCTCAGAGCGCCAATTGGAAACAGTTTTCTCTTTAAAGTACAAAGGCAGCGTCATTTGGTTAGGATGACACACTCGGCCACATGAAGCAGAGCAGCACCAAGAGTTGAAAGAGAGAACTAACCGTAAAAGGTTTGAAGAGGACCTCTGGCTACGCAAAACCTTCTTCATTATTCAATTCCTTTTTGTCCGTTTGCCAGCTGTAAAGTGTTTGAAGTGGCCGAGCCTTGAGAGGAACCATTTACAGTGACAATGGTTTTGAAGTACTGTTGGGCCACTCTGGCCTGTGGAGGCACACACAGCCTCACTGTATATGATAACAGAGCAAATATATGAACTCCAAGCAACTCTGGAAAGACATTACTCACTCTGTGCCATGAGAGAGTTGTGAAAGCATTGCTCAAAGGCAATACTCAAAGCCAACACTCCCAACAGCTCGAGACAGGTAGTTTCTATGGCACTGAAGACAGAATCAACAACACAGTATTTAGATGACAGCTGTTGGCTAACGATGTGTTGTTTTTTCTCCCTGGAACATGCTGTCATGAGTTCCTATAAGTGTCTATAGAAACAAGTCCTTCACACAACTGTAGAAATAAATTGGAACATAAATAAAGGCATCTTTATACCTTTATAGCATGCCTATGGTTGCCACTCGGTTAACTTTCCTGCTGCATTTAGAAAATATACTGTTACCTCTCTCTTCACTGTTACCTGTTGTCTCTATCAGTGTGTTTGCATGGACTATTGTATGCTGGTTAAGAGCCTTACCCTGGTTTTGATATTATTTGGGATATCTTTTACATGCACGCAGACTAACCTGGTTATTCATATCCCTGTATACATGATAATTACTTGTATCCCCGTTTCCAATTTCTGCTTCTTATTTTGGCAGTAAGATTCTGTGTGTCTCCCTGTAGGCTCAGCATCCCGTTGCACTTGAGAAGCCGACCACCATCCGCTGCGGTGTCCAGCGGACAGTGGCCAAGTATCACGTCCAAGATTTTGTAAAATTTGAAAGTTGCCGGATCAGAGACACTTCTTTTGTTCGGATTTTTGACCATAGTCATGTTTCTTCAGTCCAGAAGTAAGATGCCCTTGGTGCCCCCGCCATGTTTGTTTTGTTCATAAGTCACTTGGCTGAGGCCGTGCCTGTGCAGGTAGTTGGCAACTGTCAGAAACTGGGGTAAGAAGTATAAATGCCACAGTGTACCGTTTTCTTTAATGTCCTGCAGGTAGCAAAATCAGTTATCTCATAAGGACTTATCCCTGTTTCTGAAATCGGGATATGATGTTTACATGCACAAACACAATGAATGACTCTTCAAGGGATCCAAATGCTAAATAGTTGGTGCTAAAGCACCCAGCTTAGAGGCTCATTTGCCTTTAAAAAATCACATTTTCATATTTTCCTTTATTATTATTTTTTGTTCAAGGTATTTTTATTGGTATTTTAACATAAAAAAAAAAAAAGCCCAATGGTTTTCTCCATTCTGTCATGAGTGGTGCGGCAAGCGAGGAGTCTTTGGATCAACCGTTGCCCAGCACACCACATGTTTGCCTGTTGGAGACAAATCCATTCTCCCAGCTGGACTCACAAAGGGAGAATTTGGGTTAGCACACTTTAGCACACAAGAAGAACTGGAAAAAACAAGCACACCAAGCTACAAGCACTGTATTGAATATATGACTGTTACATCTTCATATGAACTGATGTTAGCCAAACTGAAAGACTCTTTGTACAAATATAATGACATGTTTGGAGGCTTCCTTAGATCTGTGGTCGAGACCAGTGGATAGAAATGTACTTTTGAAAGTCTTACATATCAAATGGTGTGCTGAGGGGAGGGACAGGTGATGTGTCCTGTTTCTGCCTTTTTGTTTTTTGTATTGTGTAGTTTGTTACTGGGAGACCAGCCAAAAAATGCTTTGTATGTAACTGTACCAAAATGATAATGGAAAACAACAACACAAATGCATAAATCACAAATTACAACTATGACCAATGGTCAAAATTCACATCATTTTAAAGAAGTGCTAATGTTAAAGTTAATTTAAAAATGTAGTGTTGGCTGGTCACCCTAAGTACTCCAACATAATGTTTGCTTGGCTCACTTCTCTCTCTTTTCTGACTCTTTCTTGAGGGCATGTTTGTTTTCTGCAAAATCTACAAACCAGGACTTTTCCCAATCTCTATTATGATCCAGTGTCCCCATGCACAACCCTAAATGAAAAACAAGTAAAACAAGGTTAAAGATGAGGACATCAACAAATCAAACTTTCTCAAATAATTGGTAAAAATGTACACCTGGTAAAGTATGCACAGAAATGCGCGCACACACACACACACACACACACACACACACACACACACACACACACACACACACACACAGAAACATTTCAGACATGTGTAAGGAGCTTGCAGGATTCACAGGGGGGCCTTTCCCTCTCAGGTGTGATTTACAACCTCAGTGTAAGGCTGCTGTTTTTACAGCGCTAATTACAGACACACACACTCTCTCACTTAGAAACACACACACACACACACACACACACACACACACACACACACACACACACACACACACACACATACAAGCAGCCTCAGGCAGGCTGGTAAGCTACCAATGAAAAGTCCTTACTCAGCATAAAAAGGCCTTATCAAGAAGAACTTCACAAGTCTGGACTCAGCAGCAATGACTAGCTAGTCGAGCTCAGGTCTTTAACTCAGTCACTGTTTTTGTCTCAAACTGCTCCATGTAGTTGTGTTTCAGTAATTAGTTGCACAAAAGATTGTTTGCTTTTATTACTGACTTTCTGTATTAATTTGTTCTCATACTTTGTCGGTATCTGTTCTGAATTAACTGGTTAGCCTGTTTGTGTTTTGTCTCTCCTGTCTTGCACAAATGATGACCATACTTTTGGTGTAACAAGCAGCAGGAAGCACACTTGGAGTGACCTCGCTGCTCAGAGGAGACCTGTGTGTAAACTGTGTGCTGAGCCCAGCATGACGGCTGGATGCAGCACTTACAGCTATTTCACAGAGAAAGATCTTAGCGGCTCTCTTCACACTGTCGCCATGGTAATTACAGCCATTGCAACGGCTGACTGTCCAGCATAGAATTAGTGACATGAAGGTAGGAGGGACAAAGGATGCCCCGAGGACCTAGCATGACTTGATCTTCTAATTCCAGGATTACGATGACTTGTACAAGAGCCTGTTATTAGACGAAATGTTGGCTTTTAATAGCAGCTTTGTGATTAAAGAATAGATAAATGTAGATGAACGTGTGTGTGATTATATTAGAAAGCAGCGGAGATGTTAGACAGTCTTGTGTGTGCGTGTAACATCTGTCCATTAACCACATACCTAGAAGACACGACACAGATTACTTTCAAGCTCAAAGAACTGACTCAAGCACTTCAGAGAACCTCCACAGTATTGAATGTTACACTTGTGATTAAAACCAGAGAGTGAACCAAAAGGTTGAATGATCTTTGAGTAGGTTTCTTTGATCACTAAGTCTGTTTTCAAGTAGATGAAGACGCCACATTTAAAGCACAGATGCTGCAGATCAACAGTATTTCTAAGCAGGTTTGTGTGTTTGTGTTTTTTGGTTGTAGAGGTGCACGGGACCGAGAATCCGCTCACCAAAAGACCTGCCATAGATGCTTGGTTTTGGCATGAGTCGGCCAGGAAACAACACCAGAACGAGCGCAACGCTAAGATGAAGATAAATCAACCCGAGGTTTTACGGATCCCGAAAGCGCCTCAGGTCAGAACTCAAGAAATCCAACTATTATTGAGTAACGATTTAAGGCTTACTGCCATCCAATTACTTATTCTAACTACTAGCTATGACACTACACAAAGTTGTAAAACAGATGTTCTTTACGTTGTATTTATTGTCACTTCCTTGTGGCCTGTTGTTGAGCATTTCAAGAGTAAAAACAGAGATGTAAGCCAGTGAATTTAGTTGAATATTTCTTAAATAAGAAATGACTTATTCTGAGAAATAAGTACCTGACCTGGTTTTCTTTGTATGGACCCAATACTGTCCCTTCTGAAATCATGTGTGTAACTGAGTCTACATTGGCAATGTTTCACCTGCATAAAATAAGCCACAGTCTCCTGCCGTGAGGTGCTTGTGTAAACACCCAGATCAGGATGATTTTTAGGAGCAGTCTTCCTCTTATTATGAAAAAAATTTGAAGAGTGTGAAAAATGCTCTTACCCTCATTTAACCCTTAATTAACACTAATCCTGTTACCTACAGGTGATGCGCACCCCATGTATGAAGGCTGTGGTTCTCCAAGCGGTCACCCGGGTTAGAATCCAACCTGTTGCTCCTTTCCTGCGTGTCATTCCCCACTCTCTCTTCCCCCAGTTTCACTCAATCATTATCAATCAATCGTTTGTATTCATCCAATTCATAACAAGTGTTATGAGTTTCTAACTCTATCCACTGTCCTATCTCTAAATAAAGACATAAAAAGCCCAAAACTAGTTAGGGAGTTTTAAGCTGTGAAATATACTAAAATAATGATGTCTTTCTACTTTTAGGACATTCAAGCACTTTCTCTTAGATTGTTTGGTGCATATTAAATTATGAATGTCGTACAAACAGCTTGAGCTGCATTCACACTGAGTTATCTTAGCTACAATAATTGTGCATAATGAGCGTCTTGATGATGTGAAGATTGTTTTGCAATTCACAGTGGAATGCGTGTTGGCAGTTTCAATGCAGTCTATAGATTGAAACCCTCCCGCTTCCCATTCACATTTCACAGATTTAAACACAAGATGTACAAAATAAAAACAGTTCCTAGTAAAGCCTCAATGGGGTGACGTACAAACACAGATATTCCTTCTGTTTCATGCAAATGAGCTTGGGTCTTGGGGGGGGGGGGGGGGGGCTTCACATGCAGAGGCCCACATACGACTCAACCTGGCAAACAATCCTATGTGCATTTGCTAATTTTCTCCCTCACTTAACTCGCTCGCTTGCAGCAAAACAAAACAAAAATAAAACAAAACCAAAACATAAGCGGGAAAGGACAAAACAATAGTCAGGATCATTATAAGTAACAAAAGAAGGAATTCACTAAAAGGGAGTCATGCAGCTGCAGGGGGAGAACGTCAGACAGCTGGTGTCAAGCATGGATGCACCTCGTTGTGGGTGGGCGTGTGAGGTCAAAAACTGTACACAAAGTGTACCTTTCTCTGTCACAGCTGAGGTCATGTCACTTTGTTAACTACCTTGATTTTGCATATATTTAGTTTTTCTTAAATTACAAATGTCCGCACGGTAATCTAGCTGAATGAAGACAATATGTCTAAATCTGTAGTAGAATAAAAGGAGGGGATTTTCATGACAGCTGTTGTAGCAGGAAACCTTGAAGAAGATCCTCAGAGTTTAAACATCTCGGTCTGTTTACTGGTCCCTGTTATTAGGTTTAAAAATAGATAATGAATCTTGAAACAACAAAGGAATAACGTATTCAACATTGATTTTATGTAACTGCCCATCGCCAGATATACATATAAATGTCAACCTTCAAACGTACCACTATAGAATCCTTGTGGTTTCAGCGCAAAAAGAAATATGTAAGCCATATGAACTTTTATATAATATCTGCTTACTGAATCACTTCTGCTCTCCATATTCATGGTGAAGGAATCCTTTCCTTATGTTGCACACAGACCAACTATAAACCTCCATCAGGAACAGGACTACATGTACTTTTCCATCACCTTGAGGTTTGTCTGATTGGACTTTGGATTTTAGCTATTGAAACATTTTTGTTACCTCGGCGTAAAATATCCAAAGAGAGACAGTGAATGTTGGGAAGAGAGAGAGGGAGGTGACATGCAGCAAAGGGCCGAGATCGGATTCGAACCCACGGGTTCTGTTAAGCCTCCGTACATGGGGCATGCCAAATAACCGGCTAGCTATCCGGCGCCACTACCTCAGCTTTTAAACTGATGCTTATGTCACTAAAGACATTTATACATTTGAAAAAGTTGAATGTTAAAAATATTACTAAAAGGAAACTGAGCATAGAAATAAAAATATATTGCATTTTCACCTGTGACAATTAACAATTGACAATTAACCGATTTAGTTCCCCTTTTCTCCAGCTTAGTTACAAAATAAAGAAATCTCTTCAAAACAAGTATGAATAAAGAAGAATTGATACAGCAACAAATAACTTTAATTTACATGTTCTGACAGAAACAATCCCGTACCTAAAATATGAGAGCAGGGAGACATCAGTTCAACTTAAGGTTGTTTGTACTTATGTGTAGGTTAATATGTTTGTTCGTTATAAAAGACTGTGTCAAAGAAATAAAGACTGAACCAGTAAGAAAGAAAGAAAGAACCAGAAAGAAAGAAAGAAAGAAAGAAAGAAAGGGTACTTTCATCCATATGTTCAGATGTCTGATAAGGTTCATGGCAGACTTCACCTCCTCCTGCCCTTCTCTCTCATCCTCATCCAACTAATCATAAGACTGGACCCCTTTGATCCCACTGGCAGCCTGATACACTCTGTGTGTGTGTGTGTATTAGTGTTCACTCATGTGAGTGTATACACCTGGATATATGGTCAGTGTTTGTTCACACAAAACCAGCAGGAACAATGTGCACAGTATTCAACTGTAACAACATGTGTCTGCCCAGGTCTGTGTGTTGGTTTTGGTGTGCATGTGTGTGTGGCAACGGCCACCTGCTGAGTCCAGCAGTCTATCCACTCATGTTCCACTGCAGCCAACTCACATCAATAATATTGGCTGAACTTTCTGCTTGCCTAACCACACCTCATTAAAGGTTAGCTATAAATGTGTGTATTTGCGACAGTTTTACAAGTAAAACAGAAGTATTTTATTCCTCCATTCTTTTTCTTGGGCCGAGTTTAGATTTGCCTTCAAACACAAGTCACACTTATTCATACTGTGTTTCCTGCCTCCTGATAATTTTGATAAGTTAATTGGAAAAACAGTTTTGTGGTTATGTATTTATACATCTGATTAGATAAGTTCTAAATTGTCTCTTTTATCATACTGGTATAACTGTTGTTTCCCTTTCGTCCTTTCAGAGCGCCTGTCAGCAGGAGCTGGACGAAGTCTTAGAGGAGATCTCCAAAATGACCTCAGAGGATAACAGAGGCCCGCTGGAGAACCTGTACGAGCTCAAATTTCCAAACTGTGACAAACATGGACTGTACAACCTCAAACAGGTGAGCCACGGATACTGGACTTATTCATTTTACCTTTCTACCATGAACACTTTGTGATGCTGTTGGGTCCGCTCTCGATCTCTAATCATTCAAATATGGCTGCTCGATCAGTGGTCCATCTCAGTAAAACATGACAATGAAGGTTTCCCAATGGGGACATTCCTGGATCCAATGCTGCTATTGTTATTTTTAAGTAGCAATGAACTCAGGAACTGTACAAAGGAGTGTTAGCTCCACACTAAAGGGGGAAAAGTCATATATTTACATAACAAGCTAATCTTGTCAGGTTTCCTGACCTTTTCTCACTTTCGGCTCAGTGGGTCATGGTTCCACCTAAATGGCCAAAAGCGGCTGGTGTTCAACACAGCACATCTTGGTATACCTTGTGGAGAAACCCATCGTCTATACTAAAGAAGAACTAAAGGCATCCAAACCTTTTGACGCATACAATTATGTACTCAGCGGTTATGTCTTTGGAAGATTTGTCAGATAGTTTTTTGTGTATTAATGAGACACATGCTGCCTCGCCAGCAGCAAGGACATCCAATGCAGCTACACAAGAAACGTTCTATCATTAACAAGTCAAACAACTACATACTTACAGTCAACTGCATGCCCAGACTAGTATTAACTCTTTGTTAATTATTGAATCAATTGTTTAATGTATGTAAAGAAATATCCTCAAAGGTACAGCTTCTCTGTGCTACTCTCCACTTGCTTTTGTTGTGTTTACTGTCACCAAAATGCGCACGCAACTGCTGTGATGTATATCGTGACGTCGACTCCAAATGGGTCCATACAGTGGGCGTGTGTTATGTAACCTAAGTACATAAAAATTAAGCTAAATTTTTTGCCTAAACCTAATCAAGTACATGTGGGCCTTAAACTAATCAAACTGAGACCGCTTCTTGACCTAAACCACCTGTTAATGATTGGTGTTTGTAACGCTTTCCAACAAGTTTCAATGGCTCAAATGCACAACTGTTACTGGCATGCTTTATTATCAATCTTATTGATTCTTGTTTTATATCAGGAGCTTGATTGAACCAATTTCATTAGAAAAGTAAATACAAGTAGGGGCAAAGTGTAAAGGCACCAAATATAAAGAAATTACAGACAATTTATAAACTTTTGGAGGGATGACTTACAAGAGGAGAGGTTAAAATACATATGGAGACCACCAGGAGAAAATGTCTTGAGGAAATAAATCCACAAAAATTCATGTTGAAAAGCCAGTTTGCACAGTTGTAACCAACCAACCCTCTTTATGATAATCAGTGTTAATGCTCTGAGATTATGTTGTGCAATCTTACAATAAACACCAAACAAGACAGGTCCACATGATGACATCATGCCTTTAGCAATTTGTATGATGAAAAGTTGCATGAAAGCTTTCCAAATAACTCCAGTGGCCTCATTTATCAACAGTGTGTAGAAAGTGTTCTAAATTCTGTCTTACGAATGAAATTTAGAATGTTTCTAAGTACAAAAAAAATCTGTATTTATCAAACATGCGGACGGCGATCGTACAAACATCGGTAGGTAATCAGCGTTGATAAATCCCACATGTTCTTAACCAGCAGGCTCGTGCATGTTCGGGGACATTTACATTCAGAAACGCCTCCACTAATCCATTTATGCTAACAACACACCTCTTTATAAACCTGAACATATTTACCTCGGCGGAATAATGCGAGAGCAAAGAAAAGAAGCTTTATAACAGAAATGGAAGTGGATGAGGTTTGAGATTAAGCTCAGTGCAAAAAAATAAAACGCATCGCGGCACAAAAGCGAGAAGCATTTGCAGCTGAAGGATAACAGAATACTCCACAATTTCACCCAAGAACGGTGCAGTTACAGCGTCATCAGGGGCACAGCTCTCTCTGGGGAAAAATCAAATAGTGACGCTCTCACAAGAGGACAGGCTGGACCAAACAGATCAGTGCGCTCTTTTGAAAAGCCCTTACTGCGGAGCGCACGGTTCTCCAAATCATCTAATAAGGCAAAACAAGCCATAATGTAACATTTCTCCTCGTTTGAATTTCCCTCGGGATCAATAAAGTATCTATCTATCTATCTATCTATCTATCTATTTCAAACGCCTGCCACGTCGGCCTTTTTAAGGTTTTGGAACAAATTAAGTCAACACATCTGTTTCAAACTAGACAAAATCACTTATTTGGGGTTTTTAATTAAAGAAAACTCGGAACATGCATATATGTTGAGATTGATTCTGGCGTGCCGTGACACTCGTAGTTCTTTCAATGTTCTACCTCTAGATTCTGTGCGTAAGTATGCTCAGAGCTGTGCTTATATTTTCACACATTTCTCAGTAAAAGTTGATGAATCCCACTCTTTGCGAGGGAATGTTCTTATGCACACATTACGCACTGTTGATCAATGAGCCCCCAGGGGTCCTAACAGCTCCTCACTGATGTTTATGATCCTGTCCTGGGCCCCTGTCTTAAAGAGTCCCTGTGTTTAAATCTGTGTTTTTTTTTCGTCGGAGGAGCCCATGTCTAAAGATCCTGAGTAGCTCATGTGTGCCCCAGGCGCTTCCTTTGTTTAATCCTGACAGTTTTTATGTTTAAATCAATGTCTGTTTATGATTTATTATTCTTTATAAATCATGGTGAGAATGTGGCCAACATAACAATAAGATCCATAGTGCTTTGTGTAAAAAGGGGGAGGGTTTTCTTTAAGCACTGCTCCTGCTATATATTTTGTTTTGAAACAACTGGATACCATTTTAGAAAAAAGAACACTGGTCTTTTCTGTGGTCTTGTGTTTTGAGGATCTGTCCAAAATATAGGTTCAAGTTTGAGATGCAATAAAGAAAAGGGGCCATTTTGGGTGGATTAGTAGGGCCCGACCTATACGAGATTTTTGGGGCCGATACCAATATCGATGTTGGAGAGAGAAAGAAATTACACCGTGGAGAGTGATGATGCATGTTTTAATCCATATAGCGCCCTCTGCTGGTGAAAGAGAACTGCGAGTGTAATACAATGACACTTGAATGAAATGCTATTTGACTGGTGACTAAATCTAGTATTATCGACGTATATCTGCGATTTAAAGTCACTGGATATGCAGATATTATTGGCTAGCTGATAAATCAGTCGAGCTCTAGAAAATTTAAGAATTTGTCAACTTTCGCTTGCCATTACCCATAACAGATTAGCTTGGATTAGGTTGGCTTTTGATAATGTATTGTGTGCCACTGAAAATAATACATTGCTGTTTATTTATAAGTGGTCTCTATGGCAAAACCAGTGATATCAACCTTAATCAGTGATATCAGTAATGTCTGCTGTCAGTGGCAGAACACCCACTGTGACATCACTCATTAGGGTTATAGCCAACGTTTGGACACATAAGATGATCCAACCATAAAGAGTAATTCAGTGGTAGTTTTTTTATGTTTAGAATAGAAGAGAGACACTGACCACATGACCAGAAATTTAAAATAAATACAATTTGAAAGAAGCCTAATCTAAAAGCTGACGCTATAAAATGATGGAACATGTCACAGTTTTGTCATTTAAATACCTGTGTGTGAAGGTACATTTTTAATGTTGGGAATAAGTGTTTTATTTGAAACAACAACAACAACACAATAACATGTCCTTTGCACTGACATGTCGGCACTCAAACATGTGAAAGAGTACTCTGGAGTGTTTACACAGATAAGACAACTTGGGTGCATGTCAGAATCTTCTTAAAGGCTGTGTAAGTGGGTTTTAAGAACAAATTTCGTTATTTGGTGAATGACACCAATTGAGTACCTATTTCACACAGAACTGAAACACTGTTAGCCCTAACCCTGAATGAAGTTTCTGCTTGATTGGCCAATCAAATGCCTCCAAACACCATCCAAACTGTTCTTTCTTCAGACGACCTTAGACCTTAGAGAAAAGATTCCAGAAATGATACAAGAGGGACACCATATTTTTAATCATCGGGCAACTGACGTAAATCATGTGTTTGACGAGCTGTGAGTGAGAACAGGGTGAATTTGTCTTTCACACACGCTCATGCATAGTGTATCATTTTGTTCAATTCCCCTTGGATTTCCCCTCTCTTCTCTTTCACACAAACATGCGCACACACACACACACACACACACACACACACACAAATCTGTTGTATCAGCCTGGAAAAATCACCCTGAAAAAAATATATAACCTCCCCCTCACTCCCACCTGCCACCCTTTCCACAAAACTACCCCTCCTCCTTTTTATAAACTTGCACACACCCTCCTTTCCCTTAACACTTTGCCTTAGACACACATACACACACACACACAAACACACACACACAGTCAAGCACACGAGAACACACAAATGTGTGGGGAGATGTTGTCATCATGAATGAGGCAACAGCTTCTGAGCTCAAGGTTACAAGGCAATAAAACTGTTTGGCGTACTTCATGGGAAGACTTTTGTTAAGCCGAGGAACGAACCGTGGTTCCGACCGGGGGCTTGAATTTGAATCTCTGCTCATCCAAAGAAATCAGAAAGAGGAGGACAAACAAGGTCACATATCCAGTGTTTTCTTACGAGGATAGTAGAGCAGAAAAGAAGATTTGAATAGGCGCCACGGTTTCCTAAAGCAGGGCTCTCAACCACTCAGCCAATTTTCATCACTGGTCACAAACAACAGCATTGTTTCGGACTGGAGTCCTCAGTTCCCAGGGAGGAACACTGTACCTCCTCAACACTCGGCTCCCTTTTAGAGTTGTCCCTCCTTGTCGCGGGGTAATTACTGTAACTGTCACTTTTTTTGTTCTTTCTCATCGAAGGAAGAAAATGGAAAGTCTTTTCTTTCCCCCCAGCTCTTCATTCTTTTCGCTGTCCCCACCGCTGCTGCCCCGCGTGCGCGGCGTAAACTGTGTCCACTTCAATTACGACCTCATTTCTGAGTAGAGGGGGGGCTCTGCGGGGGGGCTGGTCTGCTGGCATGCCTCTGTTTGTGTATGTGTGTGTGAGTGTCTGTGATGGCATGTGTGCTTGTGGGTTGTGAGTTGGGGGCATGACCTGAGGATTGGCTGTTATTGGGTGAGTGTTGTCCCACCCAAACCATGGCCCACACTCTCATCCAATGGCCCCCCGCCACCAGAAGATCCAAAAGTACAAACACACACACAGCTCAAGCTGTACGCCATGCTTCATTAATGCCCCCCCCTCCCCCTCCCCCTCCCCCCATTTCCCACTGCATCTTTACCTCTCCGTCTTTTTCCAATGTTTTCCAACTTCTAGTTTGTGTTTTTCTTCCCTCTCCCTAGTGCAACATGTCCACCCATGGCCAGCGGGGCGAGTGCTGGTGTGTTAACCCCTTGACCGGGGTCCAGATTCCAGCAACGCCCAAAGTCAGAGGGGACCCCAACTGTAACCAGTTTCACGAGGAGCTCAGGGTGATGCCCACCACAGCAACGTCAGAATAACACAGTCCAGCACATGTGACAGGATTGTGTTTCCCTCCAAACTCTGGGGAGGCTTTTCCCCTTTATATGTTTATTCTCGCAACATGAAAATAAGTCAGCGTTTTGTAAAGCATCATCTCTTTTGAATTTGCATGACTGTTAAGGTTAAAGCACAAACTAAAGTAACAAAAGAAAGATGTGGGCATTATTCACTTTTTCTTAGCTGTCAATAAATCCCATAAAAAGACAAAAAAAAAAGGGTAAAAGTATGTCTCTTAAGGCTTCCCTTTCTTTTCTATATGGGACTCATAACAAAGCTAATTTCTTCTTCCTAGGATGTAAATCTTAAAAAAATAGTCTTAACATATGTTGTTTTTTATTTGGCAAAATTGCAGTGTTGTTGTTTTTTAAGCTACAATGACCATGTTTGGACAAAAAGGTTGAGCTTTAAAGAAGTCAGGGGAAAGTAAAAGCTAAAGTATCCGCTAAAGCTAGCATTAGCTTAGTGAGGCGCAATCCTAATAAGTGTTTACCTTGATATAAATGGGATGCCAATCTTAGCTGGGAAAAAGAAACTATATATATATATATTTTATAAGTTGGAAAATAAAAAGTGAACTCATTCAAATGTCTTTTCAATTACAACACACTGAAAAAAGCCCTTTTAGTTAGCTTTGCAAATTGTTATATACAAAGCTACATATACTGTACTAGCCTTCCTGCTTTTTGGTTTATTGAGATTGAGCCCTGATGCTCTCAAGTAGTTCCATAAAATCTGATTATTTGGACCAGTTTAGTCTTCCTGTTCCCACCATCAGAAAGAATGCAGGTTAACGGGAGTGTTGCTTTTACTTCACTTTTCGACCCTTTTTGCAAAAAAAAAAAGAAAAGAACAATGATTCAACAACATGGGTCATTTTTCTTACTTTACTCAAACACCCATCCCTGAGCATCACTGTGGGAAGAAATTGTACTAGTTTTTCTTGTTTTGTTACAGACACATAGGCTACTCAAGATTTAAATCCCCTTTTATTTTTATGGACTCTGTTGACAAAAATAAACAGTAAAACCTTGTGTCTCATTGAAAACCCACAATGATGGGACAAATTCAGCAAGATTAGCATTCCTTTATGTTTAGACCCCCTGACTAAAAAGTGCAAAATCCTAAATTCACTTGACTGTTTTGATCTCCACCAGCTCCTGTAAAAAAATAAAATCAAGGCCTTCAACTGTGTATTGAAGGTTTTTCACCTTTGAATGACAAACAGTGTTCAATACTCAGTGTTGAATCAAATCTGGATACTCATCCCAGATTTGGTTCTATAAATGCCAACATTAGGGTGGGGCAGAATCTCACTATGCTTAAGTCAGACAGGTCTCTAGTTGTTTTAAGCTGAGGTGTAAAACTCATAGGTGCTTCTTTATATCCTCTTTACATATCACATGTTTTTTCAGTCTAATTCCAATGTCAGTGTCATACACATTGTGTCACCTTGTTTTTATAAGTCAAACATGACAAGCAGGTAATTAGAAGTTTAATCACTGTCATACTTTTGGTTGATTACATCTTGTAGAATTCCTTGTTGCTGCATCAACTCTGCTTCCTACATTGTGAATTAATTAAATTATCTTTTGCTCTGACATTCACTGTAACAGGCTCTGGTGTTGTTTGCTGTTTTCTTTTTTGATTGACATTTTTATGACATGTCACAGTAAAAGCAAATCGTCAATTTAGCTTCAATCAGCTCCGTCAGCGCTGTTGGCTGTTGTTGTTGTTTGTCAGCAGTTTTCCCATCAGCGCTTGTCAGCTCCAAATCAGTGTCGCCAAAGAAAAATGGCACTTACGGTAACAATGGTAGAAACTGCTGCGTGGATGACTTTTCCTATTACTGCTGTGTTTGCAGACATGCATGTGTATGCGTGAGAGTGGATGTGTGTGTTTGCGTGTTTGTGAGCGTATTGCTGGGGTAACTAATGAAGTGTTGACATAAGGAGGGATCGGTTGGGGGGCTGACTTTGACAAATGTGATACTAAGTGGGTAAATGTGTCTATGAATAAACCTTACCAAGTAAGCAAATGCACGCAATTGCACAGACACACCCACAAACACGTAATTGCATGCAGGTCGTGGTTTTTAAAGCGGTACCCCCACAGATGGATCTAGGTGTATTATTCATGACGATGAATTTCCACAATAAAATGCATATTGGAAGTATTGTGGCAATGTGTTCAAGTTTGTGCTTTTATTAGCTTCGTTGGAGCAATTCTTTCATTCCTGGGCTGTAAGCAATTCACTGTTATTGTCCCTTAGACAGGCGAGCCCATCAAAAAGAGTTATGGATGACATGGAATGTTTTTGTCATATTTGAAAAATGTATCTGTAATCCATTGCAGCCACTGTAAAAAAAAAAAACCACACACACAGTGAGTTCATCATGATCAGATGCAGCCTAAACAAAGTTGTGTTGTATATCTTTATTCCTGCTTCAGTTATTCAAATACTTTGAATGGCTCACATGTGACTGAGAAAAAATAAGTTTTGTAACCTGCTGGCAGGTCCCTCAGGTTCTTGATAAGTTCTCAGAAAATCCAAGCGATTTGAATTGATTCTGGGAATTTCTTTGCATCATGATCCTTCTCTAACCCTCAAAGGGATTTTGACACGGTGCTTAGCTCGAGAAATAAGCTTTCATGGATATATTTTTTAATACTGGTTCTTGCATAAGTAGAGAAAGATCCCAAAAGGTGCACATTAGCATATGAAAGAAATACACAGGCATGAAAAAAAAAACATCTGTCAAACTGAGCAACAAAGGTTAAAAGGTCGGATTTTTCTCAAAATGAATTAAGATGCTGTACTCTCATGTGATATGTTTGTCTAAATAAGTATTGTTACCTCCTGTCTTTCTGCCTTTCTTGCAAAGCTAAAACAATTGGTTTCATGAAAACATTTTCAGAAATTCAAACTTAACTTAATTCAATTAATGTGGATGCTGATTGTTCTTAATGTACGGTCTTTTTAGAGCTATAGCCGCTCTGTGTTTCCATGGACTTCCTCAACAACTTTTTGTAGATTGATGATATTATTTCAAAGTTTTAGCTGCAAAGAGGAGCACAAAAGAAGCCTACATACCTGATGTTTGGACACACATGTTGCACATAATTGGATTCATCACACTGCTGAATTTGGGATGGATTGTTTCTCACAGGGAAAAACAAACCGTTCTTTAAACGTACATGTGGCATGTGAGCATCGTCAGACTTTAAATTAAAAAGTCAGATCATTCACTTAAACACTCCCAGTCAATAAAGTAAACAGTGTGTCTGCTAGATTTTTCCACTAACTAATAAAGACTTCTGATTCTTCAGGCGGCACATGTCATGTTGTTTTTTAATGTTATAAAGCCTGAGTATGTTAAATTCATGGCTGAAATTGCAAACACTCGCAAAAGTCACCATTCATTTGCAATCAAAATGATTCAAGACGAGGGTGTAAAGAAACACCTCTTTGAAGTTCTGGCCAGACGTGTATCATATGAGAACTCCTGACTGACTTTGGCCTTGCAACATTATACATGTGCCAGTGAGCTGAGCACCAACCACAGCTCTCCAGCTTTATTCACTTTTTTGTGACACTCTGTTTTCTCTTTTAAACTCTTCTTATTTTGTCGTATTAATGCTGGGTTCTTGGCAGGGAGGTTACTTTTAAAAAATTTGACAGCTTGGCTTGGTGTCACACATGGATCTCAGGCGTCCCTGGCACTTTTAATGCGAGTTTGATGCTGGCCTTTTCTGAAA